AACCTTGACCGAAAAATAAGTGTACATTGGTGACATAGGTGGCTGATACAAGACTCGGTGGTGAGCTTGTATTAGGATAGATATGATGGCTTCACAAGATGGCGGTCGCTTCTCTCTTGTGAAGGAAAGATGGTCGTTGATGTAGATCTGACACGATGGCGGTCGCTTCTCTCGTGTGGGATCGAATGAAGGGGAAGTGCTGGCGGATTGAAGTACACCACAGAGATGTGATTGGTCTCTGATACAGTACACGAACTCAGCCTTGTGGAATCACACACACAAGACAAAGGACAAGCTTTTCTCTTAAGAACACTTAAGGAGAAAATTGAAGAAAATTCGGGTTCTTTATTGATAATAGGGTGAAAAATCGTACAACTGCTGCAGGGGGACTTTATAAGAGTCCTTCAGCTAGCCCTAAGGCCGAAATAAATGTAAAAGTGCAACAAAGGAAACAAATAAAACTACAAATACAAAGCCATTGTTTTTGGAAAGAAAATAAGTAAAATACTAAAGCAAACTTGAGACCTCGTGATGAGCACGTCTCCTAGCCGTTGTTGTGGCTTAATGGACATGCAATTATCGAAAATATTGAATAGAACTTACCTGGATGCGATCTAGGCCCAATCGATGTTCTCTGAACTACGTCTTGATCTACTTCAGGGGTCTTGTCAGGTGCATGTTTGTTTGTTGGTTTCTTGAAGTAGATGGTTTCTTGGAGTTTCTCTTGGGTAGCTTGATCAGTATCTTGAAGCTCTTCCAAGTCCTTGATATCTTGTTCTTGATCTTCACTCTCTCGATCACTCTCGAAGGTGAAGCTTGTTTTGCTCGTCTCTTGTGACTCCATTGTCTTCTCTTGGATTCTAGAGGTTTCTTGACCTGTCAAAGGAGAATTCATACCTGGGGAAATGGTATGTTCAAGACTCATTTGGGTGAATGCTTCAGCAAGCTCTTCCTCGGCGATGGGATCATATCCGTCGTGATGGAGTAACGGTGGTACAGACCAGTTGACGTAGTTCAGCTCTAGTGAGCTCACGATGTCTTGTACAGCTAGATTGAACCTCTTTCTAAGTTGTTTAGACTTTGAACGAGTCATGGGACCTACTGGGACGACTGGTACAGGGTGTGGTACAGGATCTGGTACTTGATCTAGTTCAGCGGGTTGGACAGGATAACCGATGTCCGCATCAGAGGAGGAAACAAGTGAAGATAATGATATTGCACTTGCACAGCAAGTGTCGCTCGACACCATCTCACGGTGTCGATCGACACTAACACCAATTCTCGTGGATTCGGCTCCTGACGGACGAATATCGACCGCGATTGACACCACCTTATCGACACCAGATCCCAGTGTCGATCGACACCCCTCACAGACACAACCGGATTTCCCCGAAACTCCGCGACCATCTACAGAAAATATCTACAAGCCTAAGGTTCCTTTTCCAAAGCCTAGGAAGTCTAAACAAGAGATAGAAGAAGCTCGATGCAAGGCAATGATGGAAAAGGTGGTTAATGAGATACCTCTAGATCATACATATCACGATTCACCTACGCTTAAGCGGTGTGTTAAGAGGATGGTCCAAAATGACGTGAGCCCTGAGGAAGGAGCTTTGCTGGCTAGAGACATGGGTGCTATCTTCTTGAAACATACCCCACAGAGTAAGAAAGAAAAGAAGAAGAAAGTGTTTGTTTCTGAAAAATTTAGTGCCATGATTCAGAGCAGGATTCCAGAGAAGTTACCTGATCAAGGAAGTTTCGTCCTAAACTGGTCTATCTTCACAGAAAGATTTCCTCACTCTCTTTGTGATCTTGGCTCAGGTATCAACTTGATACCATACTCTGTTGCTGTGAGACTTGGGATGACAGACTTCAAGCCGACTAGGATCTCTCTTATCCTAGCTGATAGGTCCAAAAGAATTCCCGAAGGTGGTTTAAAGGATGTCCTAATAAAGATTGGTGAATGCATGATTCCTACAGACTTTGTGGTTTTGAAGTATAGCGAAGAACCTCAGGATCCTCTTATCCTTGGGAGATCTTTCTTGGCTACCGCTGGTGCTCTTATAGATGTTCAGAAAGGAACAATAGGACTGCATGTGGGTGATTTGGTTATGAACTTTGATATGGACAAGTTGAGGCGAACGCCTACTATTGATGTCCAGACTTTTTATGAGTCAAAGAGTATTCAGAAGACATCACAGCACAGGACCAGAGCGAGGTTCTATCAATTGATAGGTTGCTGGAGGATGACGTTTTTATGCTAGAGATGAGGATCGCCGTAACAAATTGCAGAAAAAGTGCCGAAACACGAGCAGCAGGCTCAGTGTCGAGCGACACCACCATGGTGTCGGTCGACACCCCTCGTCACGACAGTACAAACTTGCCAAAAACGGATGTTTTCGGGTTGATCTTACTGCTGCAAACTTGAGCCCTGTTCTGAATCGGAAAGCTTCACCACCCATACTCCAGAGACCTCGAGAAAAGCAAAGGTACGCGAGTTCTTTACCTAAACCTTCTCATATCATCGATAAGACTTTTATCGAGGCAGTATAAATTTTTATTTTTAATTTTTGTGTTTTAATGAGTCAAAATTTTTGTAGGGAACAATGAACTTATTCTAATGGTTTCTCTGATTTGGATTAACACTCTTATGATTACATTTTTATGCTTGATCTTAGAACCGAAGTTTGGAACGACTATGAGCTGTATCAACAATCCTGAAAGCCCTTATTCATTGGATATCCAGTTGAACTAACGTTGTCTCTACTTTTATCAAGACTGAATTGGACTTAGTCTCTTACCTTGGGAGTTGGAATACATTGGACTAGACTTCTTCTTCGAGCCGCACAAGACACTGCACTTCTTCAAAGTATGATTCCTTCCTTCTCTCTTCCCTTCAGCCTTTAAAAGAAACTGTGGAAAAGACTATAGGTAGAAGTGATATGAGGGATGTCGCGTAAACCTGTGCATACTTCGGATCTCATGGATACCCGAATAAGAAAAAAGAGAGCTATAAAAAAAACAGAAAAGAAAGAAAAAAGAGAAAGAAGAAAAAGGAATCGTTGAAAAAATAAAATGATACCCTAGAAAAGTAGGGAGATATCGATTACCTTAGAAGTGAGAAAAGGGAGAAGAAGTGAAATCATACGAAGAATGTCTTGGTTTGAGAAGATTCGATATGCCATTGATCGATATTCCCTCGGTAAGAATTCATCTTTACTTGTTTTCAATTATGTAAAGAGATGACAATGGAGAGACTGGAGATTCCTGAGGATTGTGGGATTAGAGTAAGGAATGTTGATGCTTCTCATAGGCAAAGTACATAAAGTAAGTTCTAGAGTCAAGGCGATGAAGAGTGCAAAGAAGAGTTTCCTGCAGTTGAGTGAGTTCCCGCGTTTTCAAACTTCTTTCACAGGTTAAGTTTCTGTTTTGCTTCAGGGCAAGCAAAGGCTAAGTCTGGGGGAGTTGATATATCATGGTTTTTACGGGTTTTTGGCCATGATATAAGTCTTATTTATAGAGCTTTTAAAGTGTTTTCGAGTCTTTTACAGTCAATTCAAGATTATGAGCTATTTGGCATGGATTGGAGCTTTTTGGAGCATTTGGGAGCATTTGGAGAAGATGTGCTGAAGGAACGTACCGGGAGAGCATATTTGGTGTGAGTGTCGAGCGTCACAACTTCTGGTGTTGATCGACACCAATATCTGACGGCAATTGAATTTCGCGCTTAATTGAAGTTCGGAAGATTTGCAGATTCGGCCCAGAAGTTTCCCTTATTTGCAATTAAGCCCAGTTCGTGGTTAAGACATATATATTGAGTTTTAGGGTTTTGTTAAGACTTAAGCTTTATTTTGGAGAGAGAGATTTGTAGAGAGTCAGGAGAGAAGAATCAAAACCTCCTTCAGAGAAGATTCAGAACTCCTTTACTTCTGCTATTGATTTCTTTAACGATATCTATTTTATTCATGATGTTTGTTTCAATCACCATGTATGAGTAGTTATCTTGTTAGGTTTAGGGTTTCAAAGGAATTCATGAATTGTAAGGTTGTTAGATTGTTAGGATTGAATCTATAGAGTTCTTCATCTAGATTGTGGTTAATTTGTTCTAGAGTAGTGAAAGCAACCTAGAATATGATCTTAGGTTAATTGGTAGACACGAAAGTGTTATTGATTTCCTGAAAATAATCTAGATGAGCAAAATACCTATTCGCAAAGAGATTTGGTTTAGGGATTTTGTGAACTTATCAAACCTGAATTAAATGCATGTCTTAAACTTATAAATTTGCAAAGAGATTTGGAATTTAGGCTTCTAGACATAGATAGTCTTTGCAGCGAAAGTTGATTGATTATATTTTTGTGATTTGAATTCAAGAACGGTGCTTTATAAATCCTGACAATTATTTATTTGCAATTCTGAATTTCCTGAGTATATCCCTAGGCCTACCGTTTCTTCAATATTGTTTAAAAACCAATCGTTAATTTAATTTGCTGTTTTATTTAATTTAAAAATCTGCTTGCTTAGCTTAATTTAATACCGAATATTTATTGTGTAATCTTTGAGTCTCTGTGGATTTGATCCCTAATTACTACAATGATCTCTTAATTGAGAGAGTAGCTCAAGGCAAATTTGAGCCGATCAGCTTCAAGGAAAGGTTAGTAACCCCTTAGGGATTTTCACGGATCAGTTGCAGCAGAAAACACTTCGTTTGCAAGGGTTCCCTCTGTCCCTGCAGCTCCTTGCATATCGCAACATCCCGAGCTTAATGGACAAGATACCTGGGTCAGGAGACCCACACACCTTTTTGGAATGGGAATCTGTGGGAATTCCAAAGAACAACCTCCCTCTGACTGACGTCCTTTATGTAGAACGGTCTCCCAATGTAAGTCTACAATTTTTTAATGTTTACTCTATGTCCACAATGATATTGTTAATAAGGTGCCAACTCGTGGATACACTTCTATTTGCAGTTGTCAGTTACTCCTTTTATACTCTTTGATCCACCAAAAGATGGTTGGGGAGAGTGGGACGATGAAGTGAAGGATAAGAAGATTTCTCATTTGGTTATGAAGATTGAGCAAGGGCATGTGTTCAACAAAAAGGAGTGGCCTGGTGGGGATTCATCTTTGCCTAAGATTTCCTTTCCAGATAAGAAGGATAATGTGGTCCACAAAAAGCATGTCGTCCCACAACGTAAACAAGTATCTGGGAAACTTCGAGTTAAACAATCTCCATCAAAACCCGTTTCCAGCTACGAGAAAGCCTTCGAGGATTTCAAAATGCATGTGGAGAACGAGTTCACTATCATTAGGAAAGAGTATGAAACCATGTTCAAGAAGTTAACCTCCCAGAACAAGAAACTTCGTGCGAATATTAAATCGTTAAGATACCAAAGACGGCTGAAGTCACACGTTCGCCATCCTTCCATCCATAAAAGAAAACAAGTTGAGTCACATGATACAGAAGATGGGGTTACAAACTTTCCAACAGATGGCTTTGGAAGCAGATCCCCTTCTCCAGAATCTCCTAACAACATTATTGGGTCTGATGTAGATATTTTTGAAACTAAACAGGACTGGAACAAATATGTTCCTCAGGTACATACTAAATCTCTATCTCTCACCATGGTACATGATGCTTTAAGGATCTTATAAACATTTTTAACACATACCTAAAAACGTTAGGAAGAGCCAGGACAAACAGATTGGGGATCAGGTGCCAACCCTATTTATGACACTAAGACAAAAGTTAGTAAAAAATTTTAAACTTGGTGTTTTCTTCATATAGATGTTTTGGGTAAGTATACACTGATTTAATTTGTGAAAACAGGAGAAAGGGTCATCCCCAAAATCACCCTTGTTTGACACAGCCCCAAAGGGAGCTCCCTCTTATGTTGCACATGTAAATAATTGCCCTTATAAACTAGTTAATCATTCATCAATTATAAATAGATCTTAAATTTCCTTTCATGGCAAAAAGGAACCGGCGGAACAGGCGTCTGTCCAAGACTTCCTCCCATACACCACCTTGCTCAAGATTTTATGGGTACCCGGAAGTCCCCAGAGCAAATAAATGTTTCAAAAGAAGTCTGTAAATTCTTAACCATTTTCCTAAGACGAGTCAATTATTGTTATCTATTAGGTTTTCTAACTATACTCTCATTTTAGGGCCATGATGGAGGTTTTGACATTGGTTCTCATCTTAATAACAATCCAGAAGGACCCTCCCAGGTTACTTTTGATGTATTATTACTTTCAGAAAGAGCCCAATGTATATGTTTGCATATAATATACATAATTCCAATAATTTCAGTTCAATTATTAGGATCATGGATTTGCTTCCAACGTTGAAACTCCCTCTGACATGAATGAGGTAATCTTCTTCACCTCTATGGATAAACTCATTCCATATGGATTTGGTATTATGGATATGTGAAGGGTTTATATTTTGATTTATGTTGGTGTCATAACCTTTTCCAGGAAAAATATGGCGAAGCTGGGATGGACACGACTGGTAGTCGGTATCATTCTTGTCCTGTGAATTAGGAACCACCTGTTATGATGGTGATCAGGTACATTCCAATAGTATACACAACAATTAGATCAGACAATATGTTAAAAGAAATCCACAGGGATAGAATCCACATGGACTCATGTGCATGAAGTCATTCATTTTAGAGTGAATTTTTCTTCCAGGGGAACAAGATCGAAAATAATGTATCTACCACTCGTTCTCCTCCTATGTCTTGCCATGTCAATGAGGAAGATGTTGCTGCTAAGGTTAGCGCCCATATATCGCCAACTTACAATGAGGGCGGATCAAATCTTGGTACTCAAGTACGGAAACTATTTGTCCACATGGTCAGTTTCAGCATGGATTCGTGGATATATGTTGGGACAGGTTAGAGTTATTACTTCTTGTAGGGAGAGGAGATGGAAGATTATATATGTAGGGAGTCATTCTTCTCCTAAATATTTCCCTGTCAATGAGGAAGCTTGTAGAAGAAAGGTACGTATAATACTTATCCACAAGGATAGAATCTACATGGATTCATGTTAACATGTTAGAGTTATTTATTTTTACAGGGCAACGAGATGGAAGATCATGTATCTACCAGTCCTTCTCCTTCTAATTCTTGCTCTCTGAGTGAGGAAGTTAATGGTGTGAAGGATAACCCTGAGGGGGTAGTTTCTGATGCTAATCAGGTGCTTCCTAATGACATAGACTCGCCATATTCCCGTGTTTTAGTGATCTATGAGGTACTAC